GCAGGGTCGACCTCACTTTATCGTTGCCCGTTGCACCGGCTCTCAGCACGCACACGGTGCTGGTTTTGGTTCCGTTTTAGGTTCTTCGTGGTCACGGGGCCCTGAAATGCCCATCACATTGTTGTTTTCATGGCTTATAGACACGCCTGTTGTTTTCATACCTGCATACTTTATGATCCAGCAGCTTTCTAAACTGATCCGCTCCAACTATGAGGCTGATTCCGCATTCTCTCGGAACGCATAGAAAGACCAGCACACACACTACATACTTCTTTTTTTTCGCGATTTTCTGCACGAAGTTAATGTCCATCGGTACCCGATCGATGTCTTTGCATATGACCGGTACGTCAGTCGCCTCAATCCTGTGCTTCTCATTGTCGTACTGACTAGAAGTTCGATTTCGACCAATCTTCGCTCGTGCCTTTCGCTGTCCCGGACATTTCCGAACGCGTTAAAGCTCAGATTCACTTTACAAATCCCCTTCAGTTTCAGCTTTCTTCAAACATCTTTTCTGATGAAGGGTCTTTGACTGCCGTTATCGATGACGCCTCTAATGTAGCAGCATTAATTTTTTTTTTCATGAGGCAGCCTCGGAACGTTTGCAAAAGCAAATCATTGTTGTCATAACAACCTCCGTTTGTTTTTAAAGCTATGTCAATACTCATGTTATTCACTTCGGTTCCTCTAACCTCAGTCGTCTTTTTTGCATACCGCGAGTCGCACATTGATGGGGCATGCCTGCCTTCGGAGGTTTCGGAAGTTATCTTGCTGCGGCATGTACTTGCATGGTGACCTCGTGTCGTGCATGTGAATCACCTGACATCTTTAGACAAGCGTGTAAGCCTTTCGCTGAGGACTATATGATGTTTGAAATCATCGGTGCTGTGCCCACTAGAATTACAGAAAAAGCAGTCACCATAGACCAGCTTTCTGTGGGCGGCCATGGAGGTTGGGAGCATCTTTCCTTTAGGAGCAGAGCATCGTTCTTTATTTCTCTGAGCAAACGCATCATGTCCGCTACGCTCTCTGCTTTCAACTTCGAACGACAGGAACTCCAAAATCTTATTAAAGTCCCGTCCACTCTGATGGATCAGCGTCCACTGGGCCGTTATAGCTTCTGTGTCGATGGAAAGCTACAAATAGGTCGCTGGGCATCACTTTCAAAAGAACCTCACACATCATCGACGAGTAGGACGCCGAATTTACACCTAGTGATGTCAACCCCCGAAGCTACATGGTCACGTAGCTTTCGCAATCCAACGACATCGTCTGGAGGCATCGCCTGGTCTACCGTTCTAAGCCTGTTCAGCTGCTCTGGCTCGATCTCAGTTTTATTTCCAAACCTCTTCCGTTGTATCTTGATCACCTCGACGTAACCTTCCTTTGTGGCTAAAAGCCCAGACATAGCAGAGGCGGCCGTTCAGGTAAGTTGAGAACGTAAATAATGACATTTCTCAACATTCGACAAGCTGCAATTAACGTGAACCGTTGCTCTGAACTTGAGGGGATTGGAGACCGAGTGGGTTAGCGCATACCAGCTTGGAGCACGTGGAGCGAAAGCTCGCGCTGAAAAACCTAGGGATCCTGCACACTAAACATCGTAACACCCTTGTGGGTGTAAATGACTTGTCCTATAACTAACACCCCTAAAATAGGGTGTTTTTCCCTAACACCCATAAAGGACGGCGTTACTCCGAACACCCTTAAGTTAGGGCGTCATTCCACTCTACACCTTTTTATTAGGGCGTTATGATTGCGCAGTACGCCCTCTAAATTGGGTTTATCGCCGCCAGAAAGGGAAATAAAAAAGGCGCGATTAGCAACCGCCATAAAGAAGGGCGTAATAACCCCAAAACGTGCACGAAAAAATGACTGCAAATGCATGGTTCACTTTTTATTATTTGATCAAGGTTCTACAGGTTCTACAAAATTCTCTATAGACGATTGCAAGCAAGTCATCTGGCCGCAGCCATGTCTCTGCTTATGCGAGCAAGTGTGTGCAATTACAAGCGCACCAAAGGGCGAAGCTACGTTCACACGCACGTCACCAAACTTGGCGAAGGCAAGACTGAAAGAAATAGTGCTCTTTTATCCTCGCAATTTCACCACGACCAAGACGCTTCTAAACCAGTGGCGGTCCGTGCGTGTAAGGTCATGAATATTTCAAACGGATATTGTTTTATAACCCCTTCAAATCGTACAACCGAAAGCCCTAATTGAATCTCCAACTCTACTTTTCTTGTGACGTTTATGTCTTCTTGCACTGGTCACGTGGACAAAACTGGCAGGCTTGCAAAGACGGTACGACCGGGAGTTTCTTGGGACGTAAGTGGCAGTTCATGTTTGTAAACAGTAAAATGGTCTATTGAAACGGAAACAGGGGGCTATGTTTCGCTTCTCCTAAAAATAAACGGAAGTGACGATATCGCGTTTGATTGGTTAGAGGTTCAAATGACGAAAGTTACCTATTTTCGCCATTTGACCTTCTAACCAATCAAACGCGATATCGTCGCTTCCGTCACTTCCGTTTCTTTTTAGGAGAAACGAAACATTTGTCGAACATAGCCCCCTTGGACTACAATCAGAAGCATGCTTGCAGAGTACTTACAGATAAAACAGCAATCTCATGTAATCCGTGATAGATGCATAATCCGATTCGGGCAGCACAGAACTATCCACAAACACAATGTCGAGGATGAAGGTGGTCGATCACATTCAACGAAAGTCTCGCGGTCACCGATGAGCAGCTCTCTGTCGTGATAGATGCGTAATCTGGTTCGGACAGCACAAAACAACGCAAACACAATGCCGAGGTTGAAGGCGGTCGATCACACTCAACAGAAGTCTCGCGGCCACCGATGAGCAGCTCTTTGTCGAAACGCGTTCAACAAACACAGCACAATAATTCCATGGACACTGACGAAATAAACGACCATTTCCGAAAAGTTGGCATGGATGTATTCCGGCCGTTCACGACGAAAAATCACGGCCGCGACTGAAATGCACGAAAAACAGGAATACACTGACGGGCGCCCCTCTTTTTGTAAACCGGGCCTACGTGGCCCCTACAACTCACCATAACTTGGCATGCGGCAAAGACTACGGCCCCAGTAGCCCATCAGCGCGTCAGAGCGAGTCATGTGACAAATTTTCGTTCAAGCGCCCTTGTCCTACGGAGAGCGGTCACGTGTTTCGCGCCACCCCTCTGATTTGCTAGAAGCGGCCTTCGCAATCGCTCACAGCAACACGAAGACACAAAAGAATGTTTGGAGGCTTATCAGAAGACGAGGTCAAAGGGGGTTGGACAAAGCAGCTAATCTCCCTCTGCTGCTTTGTATTGCCACCTGCCCTGTCCAGGGAAGGTCGCGGGCTCGCCAGGACTTGCTTTGCGTAGTACAACCTTGAGCGTCTCAAACTGCCACTCATGTAGACGCGCATGCTCTGGTGTGGACCGCGAGATCACATAATAAATACGAAAAACAATTTCGAACGCCGTCGAAGACGCGGTTTCACGTGTACCAAAGAAAAACCGGAAAAAAACTAGAAAAAAAAAGAAGAAAAAAAAACGTCGGGAAGCTAGATATTTTGGTGTCATTACGCAGAGATAAGAGTCGCGTCCCTAGGGGTGTCATTAATCCGGCACTTTCGACTGTCTTGCGACATTGTTTCTTCAGAGCTACACTCCAAAATAAAGTCTAAGTGAAGGTGCAATAAGTAGTGCGAAACCCAGTCAGGTGAGTTTGTAATATCCGAAATGAGGGCGCCACAGTTTGTTCAAGTCTTCAGCTTAAAAGGTCTTTCTCAGGTTAAAAGTATGCTGATTCTATTTCGCTTAGTCTTGCTTTGTTTTGTTTTTTAACGTCGGATTTTGGGCAGTCAAGAAATAGAGATACCTCGCCGCCATAGCCGATTCACGCAGGACACTCTTGACAGTCAACCAAAAACGGCGCCACGTACGGTATGTCAGGATAGCGTCGGCGCGACCGATTTCAGTTTTCACAGATATTGCCTAGACCAAAATAATATCAGCACAATCTTTCCGATTTAATTCCACAACAGCGCAATACTGTGTGCTGCCTAGGTTGTATATTGACACATCTTCGTTCATTTTTTTTTTTTTTTTTTTTGCGAGCGGAGATGATTTTTTTTTTTTTAATCGATGTTGAACCGATAAAACTGATGCACGCGCGAAACGTTATTTTAGGCTCGTGTCGGACGAAGATTTCAATAGGAGTTGCAAAACCTATTCTCTAGCACTTCCTAATCATACGCGACTCCGAGTGCGATTAATTATACTCGATGTTTGTACCGCCATAAATCAGCAACAGTTTCACCAAAGCAATAAATATAAACGGCTATGAAATCATGGGTGTATTTGACAGCATCACCATTACGCTCCTTTCACACCGTGTGGATGAAGGACGCAAAATTCGCCCATACATCCTTTTTACACGATTTCAGACACCATCGCTGCAAGTGGGGCGTAAAGAGGGCGTGCAAAGGGTGTAAAACGGCAGCACGCCCTTTTTACACCCACCGATATTCAGAAATCGTGTAAAAAGCGTGTAAAAAGGGTGTTTTTCCTAGCCTACACCCTTTTTACACCCTTTTTACACGATTATGGGTGTTACAATGTTTAGTGTGTGGGTAGAATCCCCTCCCCTACCCGTTTCGATCTGGATGAGCATGGTACCGGCGTGCGGTCGTGTATAACTACTGCGTGGTGCATGTTAAAGACCCCAGGCTTGAGGTTGTAATGCAATGGCTAAATTTCTCATTTACAGCTGGGAGACAAGTCAATCGTGGAACGCGCTTTGAGCATAGACAGTGACTCTTTTCTGCAGAATACCGAACACCGAGCATGCGCCCACAGACCAGTGACTGGGCATTTTTTGCTTGTGTGACAAGCACTGGAACGCTGCTCATTCCACTGTGTTTCGGGCGCTTTCACCGAGCTCCAAGTTACAAGGAAAAATAAAACGTGAAAGAAAGGAACTCACTGTTTTCAGCGCCGTGTTGTTAAGGTGCAAGGCGTAGAGGAAGCTGAGGTCGTTCTGTAGCTGGGCGGGGAGTTTCTTCTTGGCTTCAAGAGCGCACTCTTGAATCATAATTTGCCTCGCTTGAACCCACTGCAGGTAGATTAACAGTCTGTTAGCCGAGATAAAGACTCATTCAAGGTTGAATTGAACTTCTATTCCTACGGAGGAAATAAAAAACGCGACAAGCACAAAACTATGTCAGTTTTTTCTACAGTTTTCCCCGTACACGTCCAGGCGCCGCTGCCACCATTTTGGCAGCTCCCTGATTATATTATGCGTAGAAAGAGCTGGGATGCGTGATTGCAGTTGGCCAAAGGTGTCAGCGTGGTTCGTTTGTCACCGACTGTCGTTCTTCACCGAACTGTTCACGACACGTGTGCCCTCTTGTTCGTGACATCCTTTGTTTCCCACACTGGGCATGCAATCTTCTCAAACGTTCAGCTGGTTTAATTTCTTCTTTCACTCACACCTGATTATACACCGCGGCTCCACAGCTACACACACATTGCTCGCCACTATGATAGATCAAACGGCTGCGCCTAAATAAAATACGTCATTCCGGGTGCGGAATATTCAAGAAGGAATACTTTAACGCCCCCCGCAAATTTCATCAAGCTACACTCGATCAGCCATTTCATGCCACGTCAACCTTGACCGACTCTCTTATTTTATCATAATGCTGTTTACGGGCTGGAGGAGAATTCTTTGACTCGTTTAAACTCATCTTAAAGTACGGAGGAGCCCAGGACCAGTTTGCTGTTGAATGCGGGTATCGCTCCAGGCGGCTGAAATAGTTGCAATCGAGATTTTCTGGTCACATACCAGTCTTAAAGGGGAAAGAAGGAGAGAGAGGAATAACGTTTCTTCATTCACTTACAAGGAAGAATATGCCTTTTGTTACAGTCAATTCGGCTCAGCAGACGTAAGCCTTGCCTTCCAATTTATTTATTAATATAATAATAATATCAAACTAATTCTCGCCTAACGCGATCTTCCCTAGAAATAGCTTTACATACTGTTCTTAAGGTAACGAATGCGGCTGATTTCACTTGCTTTTCAAACCTCTTCACCATTTCCTGCGTGCACAATCGAATTTAAATGATCGAAGCGAGGACGGAACTATGGCAGCCATCTGCCTGTCTTGGCGTGAATTATGTGTTGTGCTGCGCAATAAAGGCTGGCACAGCTTCCACAGTGCTTTGACGCTGTCAAATCTACTTCCGCGAGCGCGTCTCTTCGTTTGGCGTCTCCGTCGCGCGAGAACGCGTGCAAATGAATAGCAAGGCTAAGCCACGTGCCCTCGGAGAAGTGTTTGGGTTGCAACCTTGGAAGCTACGCTAGCCTAAACAACTTTTCCACGAAAGGTTGACACGGAGTTTTTTTTTTTTGGTTTTATACGTACGTTGCTGTTACTAGAACCAGAAGATTCTTATTGCGGTTATTTTAGTCGCCGGGAAGGATACCCGGTTTCATCAACAAGCCGGAAAAAAATACAAAAATAATGAGGAATAATCTGTTTTCCCATTTCATATATTTTATTAATTTTACTTCGAAGGCATTTAGTGATGCGCGGTGTGGTGCACCTCAGTGAAACATCGGGCAATATTCACATTCGAGACGATCGTGGAAGTGCACGGTTATTAGAACATTTAGGAAACGTTAAAAAGTAAAGGAAGAGTCACATCGAAACACTGAAACCAACAAAATGCACCAAACATATTTAATCAAAAAAAAATCGTCTAGTCATTTTTTTTAAAGGAGGGAGCACTGCAGCTAAATTTTAAGAAAATACGTTTCCGCACGCATTTTACTGAAAATAAAGGAGATTAATTTTTTATTAACCATTCCACATTTAGGATAATAACCACAAATCATGCAAATTGGTCCGGAATGCAAGCATATTCCATAAAGATGAATATTACAGTTTAAAAATTTGATATTACAAGTGCATAGATTATGTGCTCGAGTTCCAAGCCAGATGTATTTCTAAACTTTAGAGGCAATTTTTTGTTTGTTTTTTGTTTTGTCTTCTATAACAGACTGAGCCATAACCATTCTGATCTTTTCAATATATAATTAAAGTTTCTTGTAATATTCACCTTGATAACTACATGTAGAATCTGCGAGCCATTTTCCGTGCGTTTCTTGGGGCGCCACGCTAAAGCAGATTACACCGTTATGCGATGCAGCACATATAAGAAAAAGCCAGTCGTCAGTTTCTATTAATATCTGCCAAACGTCTGGATTTGAGGAACCGAAATTAAAGAATGGATCATGAAGTTCGCCACCTCTTTTAACGTGTTTACATGGCAACTCTAAAGAGATGCCAGATGGCATGAAATAGTGTGTGCGAATTTGTCATGCTTGTTATTGAGCTACAATGAAGACCGAAGAAAAAAACACACACACAAAAGCCTTATTTTTTTTTCACAGTATTTTTTCAAATCATCTCATGAAAGAACCCAAAGAACATGATAGTCCTCAACGGGTAAGAGATTTAGAGGGTATATTTATCCCTGAAGTCCAGTATACGACACAACTTTGTAGTAGAGAACCACATGCCGGTTTGGACACCAGATAGACCTAGCCTGGCATATCGCTTTCAGATTTCATGCGAAGAATCCAGTCTGTGCTCTTCCGTACTTTCGAATATCTTACCGGTTTATTGTAGTATATCTTGAAACTTGTTAGAGGAGTGGTTTTTGGGGAACAAATCATCATTCTAACTGCACAACGATTTATTGCAAGTACCTTTTCATTGCACGTCGTGTAAAGCCCCAAAGTTTGATCATATTCAATTATTCGGCATACCGGCAAAGCTTGAAGGCATATCCTCTACAAGATAATGACAAATTAAGAATAATGTATGGATATAGTTTGTAAATGTAAGAAGTAGAATGATTATGTTAGGGTTCGTAATGTAATATTCATACAACAAATACGTGACCGCATGAGCCTTCGATTCGAATGTAAACACGCAAAGGGATAATAAAGATTTGAAAGTCCCGCCCGTAGCGACTGTATAGCAGGTGAGTGGTGCCCTCTAGGAAACAATTGGCAAATCAAGCTTGAAACTCCTCTCGCCATTTGGAGGTCGCTTGGCAATAAAGCCGTTTCTTTTTTTCTTTCTCGTTTTCTCTAGAGTTTCTTATATACTCTGTCATACAGCACGGTTTATATGTGTTCCATGTGCGGGTCACTTTACTTTAACCGAGCAGATCATCTGACGTAAAACTTGCAAGCACGATTGAAGAAAGGTCACAGTTTCAATGGGTGAATGTACGTGGAGCACAATACGGAATCATATACGCTACGTAGGCAAACACGCGTGACCAGAATCATGTGTCCGTTCATACAGTCTAGGAGCTTCGAAAGCGGACAACTCTATCGCAGTATAAAACATGGCACGCGCTTTGACTTTGAAATTGCTAGAAGATGTGTATATCTTCTAGGTACCTGAAGCCATGAGCCACGTTCAGTATTCGAGAAACACTGCCAGCCCTTGCAATAGGTTTTCGTATAAAGAAATATAACTTGGTGCCTTGCCATTCTTAGGGTTTTGCTTTGTTTCTTACTGGCAAGCGTCGTGGGGCACTGCGTAAAGTTTTATATAAAAAAAAAAAAAGAACACTGCCCGGGTTTGCGACAGGTGCTGTTTAAAGTAAGTGTAATCTTTAGTATGGAAAATGCTAGGTTAAAACGACGGGACGTGTCCAACCCGATCATTTCATTATTCCTTTTTATCGGTGAGTATCATGGCAGTACTCTCTGACAAAAACAGCCAGGAACAAATTCAAAGCCAAGAATGCCTTCGCGCTTTGTCACGCCAATACTCATCAACCCTGGCGCTGGTAATGAACTCCACACTCTATCAAAATCAAGTTCGTCTGTACTCCGTTTCATCTGATGTTGTACCGCAGCGAAGGCTAGAAGCGCGAGCTCATAGCGTTGGCAGCTGCCCTTGGCGCACGAGAGCTTGTGCCGCCGAGATGTACTCTAGAGCAAGGAGCTCGCGCTTGTAGCCTTTCCTGCGGTACAACACAAGGTGAAACAGAGCATACATCCAGTCAGAACGCTAGTTAAGCCAATCAGTGTCAATCACGAGTGATGTTCGATGAACCGCGAGGACCCCGGAAGAAGACGTTTTCCCCAACAATTCAGACTGCTTTGTGAAACTGAGCGTACGTGATTATATAAAACGCCGCGCACTGCAGTGTCATTGCACACGCTTTATTTATAATGTTTTTATTTTGTTTTGTCACACGTCGACCACTTTTAACAAATTAAAGTGATTGACTTTCGAAATATTCTGGGGAAAATAGGGATGTGGGCGTTTTCTGGAGTGTAGCGAAGCAAGTTTACTGAACAAAGTAGGGAGATCAATCGCTCACTATTAGCTAGTTTCAGCATTGCTTTACCGCACACTGCCATACGAAGTGACATTGCTACCGAAAGCTTGCGCTGCCACTTCAAAACATGCTCCCAGGCGCGCGCAAGGAGCCGTACCGTACCCGTGGTAATAAGAGTTAACGCTAGGCGCAAACACCCTAAAATTTCAATACGGAACTAAAGTGGCGAAGCGGGCGAGTTGGTTAAGAACTATACAAGGTACAATACGGCTCCTCATGCAACGCTTTCCGTTTCGCACACGGGATACTTTGAATGAGCAGATACTGAAAAGCAAGCATGCGTTTTGTGGCGTTTCTTTTACAGAGTCGTCTCGCACGAGAAACCTATAAGATGTTCTGTTGTGGCCACAAATAACCTCCCGGTCTACGAGACAGGATGAGAGAGGTAAATGAAGGCCAAAGCTCACCTTTCCTCTTAGTGAGTTTTTGTAGGTGCACACGTCGATCTGAAAGTGTGAATCACGTAAACGTCGCAACAAGCGAGCCAAAAAGATTCAAATGAACTAAACGCGAAATAAGTAAAGTGTACAGTGGGACCTTCATCAATTCATTCATTCGTTACTTTTTTTAAAAAACAGTGGGTTGAAAAAAAAAGATGTAAAATTGCGCTATCACAATACAAAAAAAAAAATATTTATTCCGAAGAGCTTTGCAAACGTAAAGCGTGAATAGGAACATTAATAACCCGTAAAGTTTTTCTGTAAGTTTCAAAATCTATTCGCAATCACGAATGAAAACTGATTGAATCTAAAATTATTACGATGCAAGACTGTAGACGGTTCCAATCACAAGAAGTAAAAGGCTCAACTCTTCCCCAGAATTGTTTTTTTTACATTGTTTTTATTGTGTTAAAGTGAACTACGGGATGAAACTCCAGTACCCTTACCAAAGGTTTTGGCGTTTTAGAAAACTTCCAGAAGAACAACATTTTTTTCTTCAGTTTTTTTATACCTATTCTTGCTTTGGGTATCTTCAGGAAATATTCTAACGTGTTATAGTAACTGTCCATATATTACTTTGTAAGGCTGAATCATAATTAATTGTACACATTGTGATTTTTGTTCCTACGGTCGTATCAAAACAAAGTTTCTGAGTACTTTCTCAAAAATGACTAATAAATTAATCTAGTCCAAACATTTAAGCAAAAGTCGAAAAGCATGCGGTGATAACTATTCTTTAACGGCATAAAAAGACGTGAGGAGCATTAGTAAAAAATACAAACTGTCCGGGTATTCAATCGTCTTTACAAAGAAATAATACTTATGACTATCAATGCCACGTGCTGCAGTTTACTCGCGAGCGTCCGTCATTCATCGGGATTCGACATCACACGAAGTTTGCGTTTCCAGTTTTGCTTCTCGGATTACCTTTTTCTTGGTGTTGAGGTCTCCCTTCTTCATGAGTGACGTCACGAGCTCCAGGTACTGTGAGGCCTTTACCCCGGGAGCCATTTGAGCAAGACAGGTGGTTCGAGCTGCGCCATTCATCTCCAGGGTCTAGTACAAGAACACGACTATCAATATCGTAGGTGACTACATCCTGACGATATAAGAGTATCATGAAACTTAGACGGAAAAAGGCGGTTCTAGCCTTGGACCGCCTTCAGGGTTCGAACTATTCTTCCTCCCCTGACCTGAGATCCGGGCACTGGCAGTGGCATGTCCCCGTGGCCAAGTCAGTCAAATCTAAAACAGCCTTTTGGTTCCCGCCAGATTGTTCGTATATAAAATTGCACCTTTCGGTTTATGTAACAAGCCGTACCTACACCACTTCTAACCCCCCATTCACACTGGAAGCGGATCCGCGTTCGCGAAGCGGTTGCGAAAGCGGTTGTATAAAGATCCAGTGCAATTGCACGCGCATTTGATGTCATCGTGTGCGCGTGCAATTGTACTGAATCCTTATACAACCGCGTTCGCAACCGCTTTGCGAACGCGGATCCGCTTCCAGTGTGAATGAGCCCTTAGGCTGAAACTATGAGATGCTTTTAATGTGGCGACTACACGCGCTGAAGATCAGATTCGAACGGAATTAGTCAGCCTGCACCAGGTGATCCTGTTGATGGTGCTGATGGTGAGGTGGTTGATAGGGATGAAGACGATGTTAATCTTCGACTTAACACTATGTTAAGCTAAAGGAGGTCAGAGGGTAAAATTACGCACCCATAAACAACGGCGTTTTTGAAAAAGGCATTTTCCTCAGGAATATTTAGTTTTGCGTTTCTTAAATAGTTGTGGTATTCCGGTGGAAGAGTGTATAGTGTCATTCTTAGCACTGACAGCGCCGGATGAGACGGGATTTTGCTTCTCTTTCTGCATTAGTAGCAGTGACGGAGCAGCTTTATTCTATTAGACTTACTGATTTTTAAAACATGGCTATAACAAACTAAAAGCGATTGAAAAACAACCCGAATGCTTCTGGCGATTTGTTCTTTTGTAAACCTCTGATAAATAAACTCGCACTGGTCTCAGAAAATTATGCTGTTTTCTGCACCACCGCGAAGCTACTAGAGCGTCGTTTTCTTTCTTTATTTTCGTGCTTTTAGTATGGGGCCCTTCAAATAAGAAGGGGAGTTACAAAATACCAAAGAGAGGAAAATTCTGCTTCCTGGGAATTACCAACATTAAAAAAAAGACATATTAAACTAGATAACGCTGGAAGGGGACGAAAAGGGAAGTTGCGAGGCATATAATTCCATTCAGCAGGGTGCCAGTCCGTAACATTCGGTTGCCTGATCCCCGCAGTTTTTTTTTAATAAGAGGTACGTATCTCGTTCAAGGCGACCTTCATACGATAGCCACACAATACGGAAGCCTCAAATGTTAGCTGAAGCATAAGCACGCTTCGCAATATTGTGAACCTATGCTACGTAATTCTGGTAGTCTGAACTCGTAGTGTGATACTTGTCGGCATTGTGGTTTAAATCATACTCGGTTTATAATAATAGTCAGAAACCTTAAAAATTGAGGGGACCGCACAATCCCCTCCTCCCCCAAGAAAAATAAATAGACAGTACTGTTAAAGGGTGGAGCGTTGACCACAAATGACGAGATATGGATAATGCGAGAGTCACAAAATGAATGTTGATGGCCGATAAATTCGTAACCAGTTTTATAACCGCGTCATTAATTTATCTGGCGATAAGGGAGGAGTGTAGACGTCATGCAGTTCCGTAAAGCCCGGTGGCGGCATCATTGCAGTCAACATGGTGGCAAGACGAACAATATCTATTGATGTCTTATGCGATTGAGATGCTTTAAAACTCACATGTATTTAAGATACTAGCGAATAAAAGATCACAATAACAAATTTCCAAAACTGGTTTTTCTTATTCGCTAATTCTCCCATTAAAAATTGGACTGATGGTAAACCTTACGACTGGGGTGAACAAAAGTAAAAATACAGGGATACAAAAAAATAATGTCGCACAGTTTATCTTAGTGTTGTCACTCCTTTCTACATCAGGTTTACCGCCATGTTCAATATACTACAGCCCGCTTGCGCCGTGATGTTTGTTTCGGTAAAAATTAATTATCCAGTTTAGTTTTAACTTAATTTATGCCAGGTATTATTACTATCTGTGCAAAGGAGCTGTTGTATCAGAATGTTTAAGAATCAAGAAATATATCTTTTCGTTGAAAGAGTACCGAAGGGGAGAGTGAGATATTTTTTTAAAAACCAAAAGATTGGTCGTAAGATTGCGCATTTCCGTTGCATGCTAAAGCAATTTTACTTCGTTTGATACGTGCAGCCCAATAGACATAGAAATCGGCAGTTCCAGGAATTGATGTTGTCAGATGCAGCAAACGCGGGTAATGCGACATGGGCAGTTTTCTGCTTCCGGGGCAGATGCAGTCTGATCGGTCAACAATCGTTGCGTGTTTCTCCGCACTGCGCTTTCGGCTCCGAACGATGAATTATAAACCGGCGCCTTATTTCAAACTGTAAGTTTTTATTCAACTTCGTCTTGAGAGAACTGCGCTCTGTTGCGAATGCACTATTTTTCGCGTCTATACGCTATTTTTATCGGCAATATAATTTTTTTAATCACTGCGATATACATGACGTGCTTTTGCCCTTGCAAGTTCTACGCTATGTTAGTATGTGTTCTCCGGTTTCATATTGCTTTATTCTCTTATTTTGTACTTCCCCATGGTATAATGTAGAACAAGTTTTTCTTTTGTCCGTGTACGGAGTTCTGTACTGCGAGCTGTTTTTGACTGTGTAGCCTGCCAAAAGCTAAAAAAGCAGCATTTAGCGTTTGAAATAAACAGAGACAAACTAAACAAAAAAAAAAAAGCGTCAAGAGGGCAAGAGGGTGCCTTGTTTGAATTGCCCGTTTCTTATTTTTATTATTTTCAGTTGAGTTACACAACATGCTGCCATTCTTCCTCCTCATCCTCCACTAAAAAAAAACACCTTACTTTTAGAAATATTTACCGTCTTGCTGCTCTGCTGAATATCAGTATTGTGCGATATATCTCGCAATTTTTGTGCACAAATCTAACCGAGATTTCATTCAGTTCTCCGCTAACAATTTTGAATACAGAAAAAAAAAGCTTTCTTCTTTTGGATTTAAATCCTCGAATCTCCCCTTTTCTAAATAATAATTTAGGGATCAAGACTTCAAAGCTTACGTACTTTGCTCATGTCAAATTACGGAATGTATATCCATGCGTAGGCGGTGTCTTGTACAAATATTTTCATTCTAAGATCTTCAACGCGCAAATATTAATTCGTCGAAACTTGTGGCAGGTCTCTGTCGGAATGTATTTTTTTCTTCCCTTTAAAGGTTTAAATGTAGGCAACGCTACACTGACACCCTGCGCCTACTAAAATAAAGTGAGCCCAATTAAACTAAACTATGAACAGATCATTAAATACATACATCTGGTTAGACTGAGTCCACGAAAAATACCCGATAAAATGCCGTCATTTTGTTTTATTTTATGGAGTGATGACATAGGCATCCAAGAATACTGCTTGATTTTACTGTCTTCCTCGAAAATTTCAGTTTCAATTCGATAATGAAAAAAAAAGAACATTAATAAAACAGATTCATAGCCATTACCAGCTTCGACTGCTTTAGTATTTGGTCGAGTGTACCTTTTGTACATAGACGTTAAAGACGTGTTCTTTTCACTTCTATAGGAAGTAAAATATTATACTATAAAATGTTTCCACTAGGGGACGGCAGAATTCCATACGCGTTTCACATCATGAACCCTGCCAAAACAATGTAAGCATCCGGACAGAGCGTTGATAATGTCTCGTCCGTGTAGCCAATAAAGATAGCTGCATGTACATTTAAGAGCTGTTATTTGTGATGCTATCTAAACTCACTACCCTAAACCCATGATAAGCCTATTTTTTATGTGTTTTTGTTTTTTCTATTGCTCACATCCAAATAATTTAACTACATACCTCTCGCAGCGTTCACCTATACGAGAAACGTGTTTTTTTTGTTTCAGGCATTGCCAAGTGGACATTTTTATTACTTGAACGAAAGCTATCAAATACGCAATAAATAGGTGTCCCTAAACAGCAATTTGCTTTTTTTAACTACATGCGAGTGCTCTATTCGGCCCTAAATTGCCCATGTTTCAAACGAACAGGTATCCATCGAGCAACTTTGTGGGCCTTAGAATAACCTCCGATTCAAATTGAATAGGACTACAAAAATATTTGGTTTATGTTTCCGGTTCCCGTGGAAGAGAAAAGACGCGCTTTTTATTATTCGTTGTTTATTCTTGAAACACTACCTCCATCAAGGCTTGCAAAATTATCCCTACCCTTCTGCAGTCGCTCTGTATGTCACAGACACACGAGGCAGTTCTTAATAAATCCCTCGCCGTCAAAGTTTCAAATTGAATGTGAATAGCCAGTACGCCATTTTTTATGCGCAGAAACACTTAGAAAGAGAAGGAGACGAACGCTAATCATTCAAAGCAGAGCGATTATTATATTACGTTGTAGTTCGTGGAGGAAGCTTATTTAATTAGTGCGCATTACTGTCTATTTTTGACGACAAAAGTAAACAAGTACGTAAATCTAAGACAGCCGAAAACATAATTTAAAATATTACAAAAATAAAAATAAATGGAAACTCTTGTGTTAATGCAGCGTGCCTGGTATGCTGCAGTACAAACACAAAGACAATAAATACACTAAATATTGCAATCTGGATGTTTTTGTCATAATACGCTCGAGAAAAATATTCGGATACGTCAGTCAGAGCATCAAATATATTTTCTTGCTTATAGACATGTATTACCGGAGTGATTCTGTACGGCACGCCGTTGGTTTGCTCACTACGAGCCTTACGATTATGCTCTTAATTTTACATTACACATCAAATTGGCACTTCGGTACTTTGAAGCACACATTACGTAAGGATAGCCAACAGCACATCGGCCTAACGTCAAGTGCACGCAATGTATGGTGTACACACTTGACAAAAATTTGATATCTAAAGCATTATGCAAAAAACATTTTTCCAGACTAAGCGGTTATATTTTTTATTTACAAGATATATGTTCACAAATTCTTTGCTTACCGGTCCATCGTCCAAAGTGAAGCGCATTGCTGCCTCGAGCTAGAAACGAAATATTAATTAGTCCTGAAACTCGCGTCCCTCAACACAATAATGTTCCGTGTTTCGTTGTTGTTTCGTCATTCGTTATTGTGGACCTTTCGCAAACCTCGTCCGCGTTCCGCGCCCCGCACTACCGGAGCCTTTGAAGCATGATTTTAAGCACGCCGGTCACGGTATTACCCGGGCGCGCGCTTAAAAGCATATTTCAAAGGCTCCTAGGCAGTACGCGGAACGCGATAACGCTTTCCTAAAAGTCCCTCTCGTGTTTCGTTATTCGTTATCGACAGACATACAGTCAGTAGAAAAATAAAAAGGAAAACTAATTAAGTTAAAGGGGCGATGCATCAATTTTTGTACTTTGCGCAAATACCGCTTAGAGCGGATCCCTGACATTAATGACCCATGAAACATACGTTCGTTTTTCACCCCACGCAATAGAAGTCCCAGAAAAAAATTAAAGAAAAACGAGCAGCGTTCACCCCCTCAAAAGCGGCCACCTGATCTGGAGCCGATTATATGCCGCCAATGTAGATCATAGCCACGCGCTGGGGTTGGCAAAGCGCAGGGCACGCGCTGAGTTCCCGATATTGTTATGGCTCGGCTATTGTCGTCCTTGCAGCGATTGGATACGGGCCACTTCCCGAATGCTTCTCGAGCTAGTAATTATCACGAGCCCAAATTGAGTGCCCACGCAATGCTCGGGTCTAATCTATGAACAGCATTCAAATATCGTCATGTGGGTGTACTGCGATACCCACGTTACGTCATGAAATTTTTCGAAGGAGAGATTAAATGAAAATGATCGCTTTTGTCCTTGAAATTACACCGCAACAAAGGAGTTTCTTGGCCAGCGGAGTTGCGTGCGAGTATCCTTGACCCCCACTAGTGCCAGTAAGCTCGTGTATACTGAAAAACATTCCAAACGAATATCTTTGCACAGCTCCTTTAAGGCAGAATATTTTCGGACGACTCTACAGCTGTTACTTGTAACCACTCAAACACAAAAAGAAACGCATGGCGTGGTGAGTTACTAGCGTCTTAACGCTGCACAACCAATGAGATTGCGGCACTAGTCAATAAAAACGCAGAAGAACGAATCACAAAGCAACAAGCGTGATCATAATGGCCATGCTATGCATTTCTGAAGCACTTATAGCGGCTCTAGCAAATACAGTCATGTATCCTTAACATGGACACTTCCGTTCTCCCCCCAAAAAGCGTCCGTAATGAGAGCTGTTCATATCAGGAAGACAAAATGCACGCATTTGCCCAGTTCGCCCCCTAATCTTTTGGCGATAAAACGTATGAACGAAGTTCGTATTAACGAGACATCTCAGTACCTTACTACAACAACTCATTTTGCTCCGCTCATTTGCATAGAACATGGACTATTAAGAAGACTCTCCACCTGCCGCCCGATCGAGGTCACGTGGTTTATGGGCCGCAGTTGCGATCAGAGGTCGGCATTTTTGGTCGCCCTCACTCACCCTCACCCTCACAGCCACACTCACCTAAGCCCCTCACTCACCCTCACCCTCACAGCTACACTCACCTTCAGCCCCTCACTCGTCCTCACCCTCAGAGTCACACTCACCTTCAGCCCTTCACTCACCCTCACTGAACCTCACGGCCCTCACGCACTCACCGCCCTCACGGCCCTCACGGCCCCCACGCCCCTCACTCACTCATAGCTCTCACGCCACTCACCGCCCTCACGTCACTCACCGCCCTCACGGCCCTCACCGCCCTCACGGCCCTCACCGCCCTCACCGCCCTCACGGCCTTCACGGCCCTCACGGCCCTCACGGCCCTCACCGCCCTCACGGCCCTCACGCACTCATAGCCCTCACGCCACTCACCGCCACTCACCGCCCTCACCGCCCTCACGACCCTCACGCCACTCACCGCCCTCACGCCACTCACCGCCCTCACGCCACTCACCACCCTCACCGCCCTCACGCCCCTCACCGCCCTTGTGGCCCTCACAACCCTCACGCCCCTCACGCACTCATGGCCCTCACGCCACTCAGGCCAGCTTCAGATGAGGCAACTTCGCCCAGAAACTTTACGTCGCAACACCAGCAACACGGGCCGCCCGCGATCACACGCAGCAACCAATCGCTGCAATTGGCCATCGTCATCATAAAATTTTATTTTTCTTGCACTATTTAGACACAATTACGCGTTATAAACCTGTTTCTATGCATTTAAATCTCGTTAAGAATACTAATGCACCTTTCTGAAACAGTTTATTTCCAGAAAAACTATCGATTTCAAACCAGAACCAAGTCTTTCGGTGTCATTATCACCGGCACGAGCTTTCACGTGAACATTTTGCGTCCCTGATTGGATGCAGCCGCTTCAAACGTATTCGAATTGCTCCGAGTTGCTTGCTTATTTCCAGCCGGACCCGATCTCAGCAATTCGTGTCGATCTAGGGAAAGCTAGAGAACAACCCGCCATTAACACCAAAATTGTTGAGAAAGATGCTCGATCTGAAGGGCGCTTAACGCACTCACCGCCCTCACGCACTCATGGCCCTCACACACTTCATTCACTCACCGCCCTCATGGCCCTCACGGCCCTCACGCCTCTCGTGTCACTGCCCTCACGCCACTCATGACCCTCACACCCCTCATGCACTCACCGCCCTCACACCACTCACGCACTCATGGCTTTCACGCCACTCACCGCCCTCACTCCCCTCACGCACTCATGGCCCTCATACCCCTTACCGCCCTCACCGCCCTCATGACCCTCACGGCCCTCACCGCCCTCACGGCCCTCACGGCCCTCACGGCCCTCACTGCCCTCACAGCACTCACAGCACTCACAGCCCTCACAGCCCTCACCGCCCTCACGGCCCTCACCGCCCTCACCGCCCTCACGGCCCTCACGGCCCTCACGGCCCTCACCGCCCTCACGGCCCTCACGGCCCTCACGGCCCCCACCGCCCTCACCGCCCTCACCGCCCTCACCGCCCTCACCGCCCTCACGGCCCTCATGGCCCTCACTCACCCTCACTCACCCTCACACTCATGAATTTTCCTGGTTCAGAAACTCACTCACCCTCACCTCACCTGTGAAGATGAGGGTGAGTGAGGGTGAGTGAGGGCCCTCATGAGTGAGGTTTGCCGAGGTATGGTTGCGATACGAGCTGCGAGTGGGTGACGAACGCTCTTATCGCCTGCAAACGTCTCCGCCTTTCCTTCTGCTTTCCTTCTCGCCACGCGAAAACGCAAGGCTTGCGCTCTTGCAACCGATCGTCGTAGGAGGTGTCCACCATAAAGTTTCAAATACTCCCTACGATTTGAGATGAACCCCCTCTTCGTACTAGGCTCTTTAATAGGACAGCGTGGATACAGCACCAAATTCTCCCCTATCGGTGGGTACTGCGCGCTTCCGAGAGAACACGTGCGCACCGCGCTGTCAACATTTGACCAAGACAGCAGAGAAGGCGGTATGAGTTCTCTCAGTGACTGTTCATGCCGATAGATGGCGATAGCCATCCCTCCAAATTCAAAGGGTAAAATTTCCGAGGTTGCCAGCCTCCGGTCGTTTCTACTACGTGAAAGCTTTTGATTGGTGTTTTGCGGGATTAAGATATATTACTTGGTAAAGTAACCGACTATAGGAAGAATATCCCAAAGTAGCAACGAGTGGCTTGGTGGAACGTGCCGAACCTCTGAACTGACGCGCAGGGCCTCGGCTTCCATCTTCTCAAATTTCTGCATCACGTCTTTGTAGAGGTTCACGGCCTCCGCGTCGCTTGCCTTGGGGAACGCGCACTTGAGGCACTTCATCTGAATGGCCCTGATGTCCAAGCTTGGCTACGAGAGAGAAAGGAAGCCAGCATCCATTGAAGTATTGTAATACACTTTATATACAATGATAGGGAAGAAAGCGGGGAAAAAATGCTACACTCTAAAAAAAGCCCGTGCGTCTTCTTTCCCGCACAACACTCGGAGAGTCAATCACCGCAATTTTGAGAGGCAGCTGAGCGAATGACGATGCCGAAACATATGTTTAGACCAAAAAACGCAGTCTGAGTTGTGACATTAAGCAATGTAAAACGTCACGCTTGCATTGCTTAATGTCACAACTCAGTCTGCGTTTATTGGTCTAAACTTATGTTTCGGCATCGTCATTCGCTGAGCTGCCTCAGTAAGTTGCGCTGATTGACTCTCCGAGTGTTGTGCGTGAAAGTAGACGCACAGACTTTGTTTAGAGTGTACAGCCACTGGCAGCTCAAGAAATGTAGGTCATGGTTTCTTTTCCTCTCGTTTCTTGCTTTGAGATTAGTTCTTGTGCGTTCTTATTGGCAGATGCAACAATCTTATTGGATGCTTCGCGATAATGAGGTACTCGAAAGTTGCCACGCAATATGTCTCTTAAGTTACCAGTGACCATGCCAGGGAAGCCAATGTGGACATACATCAGCGGAAATTCACTGTCTTCGTCACACCTAACTTTCTTGGGCATCAAAGCCTTGCGGATGTCCAGAAAGAACTGAACAAAAGCCAACATCGTAGTGTTCCCCAGGAATGCTGTAGGTGACAGTCATATAGTATCAATAAGCACCAATACTATTTTTTGAGGCATATAGTTTTTACTCTACGGCTCTGCAGTTTTGTTTGCATTGAACCCTACAGGGCACATTCACAGAATTATCAAGTTCATCTTTTCTTGACAGAATATCGTAATGTTCCCAAGGACTGCAATCGCATGGGCATCATAGAACGCAAATCAATTAAAACTTAAATATTTTCTTTAAAAAGCTTTATTCCACGGAATGTTCCAGAAAGATGTCCATGAATAGTCCCATCTTACCGACCAGTTTGGCTACGCCACCGCTGCCACAATGCATAGAGGGAACTAGTCCCACTAAATGAGCTACTTTCAGAGCAACGACACTTGACCATATTGTGGCCAAGTGTCGTTGCGAGTATGCTGTGCCAGTCATCCTGTTTTATATTCTCCTCAATGGGCTTTTAAAATTAACCGTGCGCCGGTAGGGTTATGCTGCACTCTGGAGCGGTAGCCAAGCCGCCAGAGAGGCATGTATCCAGGGGGGCCCCCCCGAATCGAAATCCTGGCTACGCGCCTGCCGCCAGAAATCTATCGGACGCGGCTGGCCGCACTACTACCCTTCGCCAAGTTTGCACTCTAAAAAAAAGTCTGTGCGTCTACTTTCACACACACCACTATGAGAGCCAATCGCCGCAAGTTTCGGAGGCAGCTCAGCGAATGACGTTGCCGAAACATATGTTTAGACCAAAAAACGCAAAAAACGCAAAAACGCAAAAAACGACATTAAGCAATTCATTGCTTAATGTCACAACTCAGACTCCGTTTTTTGGTCTAAACATATGTTTCGGCATTGTCATTTGCTCAGCTGCCTCCGTAAGTTGCGATGATTCGCTCTCCCAGTGTGTTCCGGGAAAGCAGACTCACGGGCATTTTTTAGAGTGTGGGCAGGTCCTTACGGGCCACTGGAGGTCAGTGCTTCGACGGGGGTTCTTACGAGGATGAATAGGTGCAGTGGAAGCGAGCGCTTACTTTTTATTGACGCAGAGCTAAGATACGCTACTCCGATCGAAATCAAAACTATGCTAGTCCTCTACATGGCCAAAAAGGTCACATAATGCAACGCGTGCCATACTGCATGCCCTTTTTGTTTTAAGCATTTTATTATATGGCATGAAGATAATCTTCCTTAAAATAAAGAATTTCGCTTATTTCATGAGCACTAAAACGGCTAAACTGGGTATTTTAATAGGATTTCACAAAGACGCACAGGTATATAACTCTCGTTAATACTACAGGTAAATTTGAGCCGGCAGCGCGAGCTTTCGCTCGATGTGTTTCCAAGCTGGTGGCTAAAACACTGTAGTAACCGCAGTTTTTTTTAGCCACGTGTAATGATAGGTTTCACCGTGTTGCATCGAGACATTAAACGCGTGGCGGGAACCACGTAAAGCTACTTCCATGTGCAAAAGCAAAGAATCACAGTTGGCGGGTGGTCCAGGGCGAAATACAGGGTGTCACAAAAGAAAATTTACACGGTCTTTTTTACCGCAAAAATAAACTAGGCATCGCCGAACGCTCATTCTCCGCCCAAAGGTAGAGCTAGAGGTCACAACCAGATCTCAAAGTTTCTGCCCGATCCGATAACTTAATCAAAAGTTATGTGATTTTCTAAAAATTTCAATGGGAAAATGGCGGCCGACGGAGTTTTCAAACACATGGGGCTTTAAGGCACCAGAAACCGAAAACGAGCAAAAATGAGCTCCATTTTCCCATTGAAATTTTCAGAAAATCACTTATAACTTTTGATTAAGTTATCGGATCGGGCGGAAACTTTGGCATCTGGTTGTGACCTCTAGCTCTACCTTTGGGCGGAGAATGAGCGTTCGGCGATGCCTAGTTTATTTTTGCGGTGAAAAAGACCGTGTAAATTTTCTTTTGTGACACGCTATAGAAATACGTATCCATGTACGGGCTTTCGTATAAGTGTACACGAACGGAATAATATCCAAGGTATCGGTATATATTATATTATGATTCATGTGTTATATGACAATACAAGAAAGCAAGGGGACGTATATATATCTTGTTTTGAAAAAAGGTTTGTTTCAGGCCGAAATGGTGACGGAACTTGGGAATAATATGGTATAAAACTGCAAACAGCCATTTAGAGTATGTTTTTACGGCCGTATATATATATATATATATATATATATATATATATATATATATATATATATATATATATATATATATATATACATACAACCGGCATGGTGGCGGGAGGCCGAAGGTGTGGGTATAGAAGAAGAAAAGAATCCTTAGTGAAAACAGCAACGACGGACGATTTAATCTTCGACGTTTCGGCCGGACACCGGACGAAACGTCAAAGATTAAATCGTCCGTTGTTGCTGTTTTCACTAATGGTTCTTTCCTTCTCTCTCTCTCTCTCTCTCTCTATATATATATATATATATATATATATATATATATATATATAGTGTTTTTTTTAAGCTTAACAGCATTTTTTTTCTCGAAAACCATGAAAGCTAGATTAATGCGGTCTGTGCAGGTGAATTATACGGCCAGGGGGACATAATATAGGAGGCTAATCGTAACGATCAGTCGGTTAATAAGTTGAAATTCGTTAATGAACTTTTTAATTAATGAAAATAGACATATAGTTTTAATTAGAAACTTGCTGGGCGTCATCGAAAACCCCTAAATCAGTCATTTTCAGAAAGACTTTGAGCACGTGAGAAGCGTAGTAGTGCACTAAAGTTAGCACTCGTGGAGCACGTACAAAGCTAGCGGTTGCGATAAGGCGCCCGCGCAATTTTTCTGCCTCTTATCTAGCCCCAGCCTTGTACCTGCTCCACGAGCGGTAACTTTAGTGCACTACTACGCTTCTCACGCGTTCAAAGTCTTTCTGAAAATGACTTATTTAGTGGTTTTTGACGACGCTGAGCAAGTTTATAATTGGAACTATATGTCTATTTTCATTAATTAAAAAGTTAATTAGCGAATTTTAACTAATTAGCCGGCGGATCGTTACGATTAGCCCCCTATACTATGTCCCCCTGGCCGTATAACTCACCTGCGCAGACTGCATTAACCTAGCTTTCATGGTTTCTTTTTAAAAATTCTGTTAAGCTTAAAAAAAACACTCTGTATATAGATATATAACTGAGAAGAAAAACCCTTAGTGAAAAAAGCAGCAACGGACGATTTATTTTTTGACGTTTCGGCCGGAGTTCGGCCTTCGTCAGGAAGTCTTCCTGACGAAGGCCGGACTCCGGCCGAAACGTCGAAGAAAAATCGTTTGTTGCTGCTGTTTTCACTAAGCGTTTTTTCTTCTCAGTTATAGACGATTGCAAGCTGGGCGACTGGCCGCCGCCATGTCTCTGCTCGAGCAGGCACGCCCGTGCGATTACGAGCTTGCCAAAGCTACGTTCACCCGGGCGTTGCACGCGCTTGCACGCATGGGGCACCAGTTGTGGCACCATGCTTGCAATTGTCTATATACCCACGCCTTCGGCCTCCCGCCACCATGCCCGTTATGTATATATATATATTGTAAGGAAGAAGAAGTGGCACGGACAGACAGGCAGGGGTTTGACCAAGCGCGCGCTCGGCACGGGCGCTTCTTGAATGCTGTACCGCCATTCCTCTGTCCGCCGGGGTGATAGGTAGCGTGTGGATGGAATTGAGACGTTGTGAGAAGTTTGCAGAGCGCAAATGTGTGGTGCTGAGTGCTGTAAAGAGCAGATGGGTGGTGAGGAAGTCGATGGTGCCATGCATGTGGGAGACGACGAAGAAATAGGACGAAGGGCAGCACGAAGTTCGTCTTTGATTACCTGTTCAATCTTAGGTGCCTCGGGTTGCGAGATTGAAGAACTGGCTGAGAGGCGCAGGGATCCCAAGAAGTCACGTAGTTCGTCACGAATTATTCGCCTGATGAGATTGGGGAGGTCAGTGTCGGCAGTTGTAGTTGAAACTTCAGGGAGCCGTTCAAACCCGGTGTTGGAGATCCGACCACTTTGAAGGTCTTCATAATGCTTGCATTCTGCAATGAGCTGCTGCACGGTCTGAGGTGACCTGGGTGCGACGATGGAAAACAGCTCTTGGGATAATCCTTTGAAGAGGTGCTTGATTTTTTCGTCCTCCGGCATAGCTGCGTTGACAAGTCCGCAGAGGCGAAGGACGTCCTCGTTGTAGGACGTCGATGTTTCGGAGGGGGCTTGGTACCTCCTGGAGAGTTTGTCCCGCGCTTGTTGTCTTCTGCGTTCAGGTGTACCGAAGA